AAACAGAAAAACACCAAATTTTAAACTTAAGCTTTATTCCAGCATCTAATGAACTGATTATATTTTGGGCAGAGTCGGAACATCTGAGGGGGGTACTTTATAGGTGGTCATTTTTATATTTTATAGAATATATCTGGTATTTACATTTTATGTCAAAATTTCCTGAAATGGTCCGTATTCGAGAAATTTGTCTAAATGTGCAAAATTCTTATTTTTATGAAAATTGTTGAACTAAAAGTTGTTTGCGATATCGATCTCTATAATTTTTGTTTATACATGATTTTTATAAAATGGACCGTAATGGAAAGGTGCTAAATTTAAATTTTTCAGTATTTTCGTTTTCAATGAATATCTATAGCAAAATGTTTCGAGGTAGATGTATGTGGACAACGTATATATTTAGTTTATCCTCTAAAATTTATAGAGATGCTGCAATAGGTTGTACAAAATAACCGGAAAAAGCCTATAATAACTAGATAGGAAAGTCATGTGTTGGACACATCAGATTTTTAAAATTCCTCAAAGTAGTTTCTAACACTTACTAACTGCTGACGTATTTTAAGATGTTATTGAATTATGAATTGATAATAAGTAATGGAAAATTTAAAATATTTAAATGCTATGGTCATCATCGGATGTTAATTATTGTTAAAACCTTTATTTAAACTAGTAGTTTTCCTTTCTTATTTCTTTGAAAGGAAATTTGTTGTTTATGAAATGTATTACAATTATATATTAAGAATAATTAGATTATCTCTTAAGTCTCATCAATTCATTATATCTCAATTTTATATTATGTAGGTCAATAAACAAAGGCTGGTTTGTGTTTTAATACTTTACAGTGTTTTTAATTTTTTACATATTTTTAAAATTTTTGCTTAGAAAGAAATAACAAATAAGTCACAGACACTCCTTTATAGAGGAACAATTATTTTCAAGCCAAGCTTCAATCAACTTGATTGATAATGCATCCCTTTGTTGCAGGATATTAGAACCAATGGAAAAGAGTACAACTACCCACCACCACTGTATTACCTGAGTACTTTAAATAATTATTATTTATTTACTTTTTAAGAAGTAGAACTGCTATATTGTTATAATTGTTAATTTATTATTTTTTATAATTTGAAAATAAATTAAATAACCAAAATGTACACTATATTATTTTTCTTTCTTAATACCAATAGTGCGTGCACAGGCCAACAACTAGAACCATTCCTGTTAATTACACAGGGTGACACACCGCAAACTTCCACCCTCAATATCTTTCTTTCAGTAAATAATATGAAAAATTGCAAAAACCTGTCAATTTTAATTTCAAGGGGGATACCTACAATGAATACTTTTAACACTCATGGCTCAACCTCCTAGGAGGGGTAGATGTTACCCTCAAAATCTTAAATAGGAAAGTAGGTCGAGTGGCACATCATTTTAAAGGGCGTTTAATTCTCTTTCCAATAGTACCTCATTTTATTATATTCTGACCAACAGGTTTCGAAAAATTGCGTTTCAAAGTTACAGAAGTTGGAATGTGCCTGCAAGAAAAATAAGCACCGTCATGCTGGAAATGTAACAAATCCTTCTGTAAAACTAAATTACTGAGGCCCTTCCTATGGGGCGAAAATGCAAAAAAAATTCGTCTGGTCATCTCTGCGTATGTATGCCGGCACAATAACTCTAGAACAAAAGTTCTGATTGACTTGCGGTTTTGATTTTCTTGAATAATTGCTTCTAATTTAGAACCCTATCGATTTTTAGAATTGTCGGTTCATCCCAACTACTTTAATATCAATTTTCTTAATAAAACCTGCATATGCAATACTTATGTGACTTATTTTACGCATTCCAATCATTACTAACGTCTAACATTCCATACATTCCAATATTAGGCACTCCAACGACCTCTCAAACAACAGCTCTTGATTGTAAAGGTGAGATTTCTAAGGTGGATTACGACCTTCATAGTTGCAACCATAGCCATTTTGGAGGCTATTTTTTAATTCGAAATAGTCGTTAATTTATGTCCTTCTTTTTATAGAGTTTGCTAAATTGACTGTAGTTGGCAAGTCGAACGTCACTGCCGTTTATTTTCTATATAAGCCAATGTAAAATGAAGTGATTTTTCCAAAAATTGGTGAAAAAAATCAAAATAATATGTTTAAAAATACCTGAGTACAAGTAACATGAGTGACAAAAAACATCAAAGCAAGATTTACTTTGTTCCAGATTGTAAAACGGGATACAAATCAGAGAAATCAATTCAATGTCTTTTTAAAGCTTCTAATGTAAATAAAGTAATGTATTTATGTCTAAATATAATATTTATTGTAAACTAGTCACAACACGTATCACGGAGTGTAATTTATTTTATTACAAGTTTCTATAAAATAAAATTTTGCAGTCATAAATTCTGACTTACAAACAACAATAATTATACATTAAATTTAACTTACTAGAAAAGAAAATTTGTTTTTTTAAAGAGTTTTAATGTTAGATAAAGAGTTGAACCCCAATTTTTTCATTGTCAATGTGTATTATAGGATCCTAAACGCTTAGAACAGTGGCAGATAATGGATGCTGTTCTACACTTTTTAGAAGATATTTCCAAATATTATGATACTCTTTTTACTGATGGTACCTACTGTTAGCAAAATATAAAGGGGAAACTCCAAATTTAAAGAATGAGTCAATATCATGTACATTCCCAAATCTCCCTTTATGCTTATACTATAACAATAAAAAAATCTATTAACTTTGTTTTATTTTGCTCTTAAAACTATATTTAGGTATAATTAAAAAAAATTAGACACAAAATTGTACTTACCAAATTTCACCATTTAACAAATCTTTTCGAATTTGGTCATACCTACCTAATTTGCATTTTATATACGAGTAGATCAAATTAAATAATTAAAACATGAGAGACTTATTTATAAATAAATACAACAGTATATTCTGTGCTTTATTTGGCAATAAACAAGTTTATTTTTATTATTTTGAAAAATTATGAATTAAAGAAGCTCAATTAGCGTTCAGTGCCTCTTGATCACTTTTACATAGTATCGTATGTATCTATGTATCGTATGTATCTTGCAGCCGCGTCCTCTCTATTTGGTCACCCGATGCATAGTTTTCAATAGAACACCACACTTAAACTCGATTTATAAAATAGTGGAATGATGGATGGCCCTTGAACATGAAACAATTCAATTGCGCACTACATTTTTAACAAAACGTTACTATTGGCAACAATGAAAAGTACTTTTACAGCCGCTGTAATCGGAAGAAAAAATATGAAGCTCCTTTAATGGTAAAATTCGATATTTGAATATTTTTTTATAACTCATTCGGGGTGAACAGAACTTTTTGTTAAACGTCTCTTTTACCGAACAAAAAAAATATATATTACTACCAGGTATTTTTATACTAGAGGACTTACAACACATTAAGGAACACTAGTAGCCTTTTCAAGGAAAAGAAAACTTAATCTCAAAACCGTTAAATTAGACAGAATAGATATAGAATAGAAAAATGAAGTCAAATATCTAGGCCTAACCCTTGACAACAAACTTCTCTGGAACACACATGAGAAGAAAGTAGTAAATAAGGCCACAAAAGCCCTAATGGTATGCAGAAACATGGCGGGTAAACGATGGGGATGTAACCCAAACATACTGCGATGGATGTATACTGCAGTAGTGATACCAATCATCACTTACGGGGCTATAGCCTGGAGTAACAGAACTAGTTTAGAACCTGTCCTACGGCCGCAATGGAGGTGATCTTAAACCTCACCCCTCTACATTTGATGATAGAGAATGTGGCAAAAAGGACACGATATAGAATGATCAGGAACGAAGTAATCAGACGAAAGTCTATTTGCTTCAGGACTAAAGATACCTGGGACATGCCCCAGGATGAAATGCAAAAGAAGTACAGTTTTGTGAAAAACTTCAAAACCACAGAGCTGGGCTGCAAGAAAGAATGGAGCCAAGAATCCATCGCGCTTACAACCGAAAGACGTGCTATTCAGTGGTATACAGACGGTTCCAAAACAATAGAAGGTACTGGAATACGAGTGTATGGGCCGAGAACCAAGCATTCCGAAAGCTTGGGAAAATACCCAAGCATCTTCCAGGCGGAAATTAATGCCATCGAGAAGTGTATCCAGTTTAACATCGAGAAAAAATATCATAGACAAGAGATTATCATCATGTCCGATAGTCAAGCAGCCATCAAAGCGCTGAGTTCTTACGTAATCAGCTCAAAAATGGTCTGGAGATGCCTAGAACAATTGAATGAGCTAGGCGAGGAAAATAGAGTTACTCTCACTTGGGTCCCGGGACATAACGGGGTACAGGGTAACGAGATTGCAGATAGTCTTGCAAGAAAAGGGGCTCAAACACCCTTTGTAGGACCTGAGCCGTTCTGCGGTATCAGCAGTAACATAATATTAGGAGAGATTAAAAAATAATTGGGTAGTAGAAGAACCGAGAATTGGAACAATCTCTTGGGGCTGAGACAGGCCAAGATACTTCTGGGTAAATATAACCAGAAAAGATCGGAAGCTTGCATCTGCCTAAGCAACAACAGGCTACGTATTGTAACAGGGATCCTTACCGGGCATTGCGGACTAAAAGGACACCTAAGTAAACTGAGAGTAGTAGAGGATAGTTAGTGCAGATTCTGTGAGGAGGAGGACGAAACCTCCATTCACATCCTAACTGAATGTGTAGCACTCCAGAATCCAAGGGCACTATATCTAGGAGGATATCAAATAGAAGAGGGAGATTTACCTAACTTGAAGCCACTTCAAATCCTACACTTCCTTGAGAAAATAGGATTGGAAGGGTCGCTATAGGCATTGAGACATTTCCTTAGTGCAGTGGCGACAGAAGGGGGCACAATAGATCTTTTAGGTCGCAGTGTATTAACACCCCATTCTCAACATAACATAACACATTAAGAATAACACATTTATTTATTAAAAAAAATTATACATATTTCAAACTTCTAAATCTACTTTTTTATTTAGATTTAACATTCATTGCTTCTCTCATTGTCATCTATAATTTTAAGCTTTAAATTTAGATTTTCTTCATTTCAATTTCTAGTCTTAATAATTCAATATTTTTAAAAATATCGTTTATGATTGTATCGCATTCTTCTTTTGAACCAATATGATTGATGTCCGCTGTCACGCCAAAATGAATTCTGTCATCATAGCCAATTACGCTAAATCCTGTACCTAAAATAGTTAATTATGTACCAAGTGCATTATACAAATGCCAACAACATGAGAGTGACATTATACAGTCAGAGGCCTGTTGGTCCGATGGAATTTATATAAAATTTTATTTTTGGTTATGATAAAATAAGCTCCCTTAGAAATGCATTGCTTTTCGTAAACGTTAAAAGTTAATCGGGAAAATCGTCTATAGTTATCGTGTCAGTGCACATACATACACCCTTATACACACACACATAACACCAAACGAGATTTATTTGTTATTTTTTCGGAATTACAACAATTGGAAGCGTAGAGAAAATTGTTAAAAAATAGGGGTAATATATTTTTCTCGTCGCCAGTACAAATTCAATACTGAGGCCTTATAGGTAGGAACGTCAGTAATTTGAAATGTAGATTAAAAAAACAGCCAAGGTGTTTTCCAAGAGATGTAAGGGAAATGGGACAGAAAGTTCAATATTTGAGGATATTAATTGCGAAAATCTCTTGTGGTTATCAAAGATGACATTAATTAAACAAAATAAATAATACAATTCAGTAAATATCAAGTGTAATTAATAATTATTAATAAAAATTACGTAAAAATACTTAAGTAGGTACGCATTAAAAAAAAAACATTAAAATCGCAAAGTGCGATGGATGAAGCTAAATCTCGTTTAATATTGGTGACTTGTAGCCCTAAATCTCTCTCTCTCTCTCTCTCTCTCTCTCTCTCTCTCTCTCTCTCTCTCTCTCTCTCTCTCTCTCTCTCTCTCTCTCTCTCCGCACGCACGCACCCACACACAAACACACACACACCGTCTTTAAAATTAGTTTTTTTTCCTAAAAATGATAACTCAAACTATAAGCTCTCTAAAAAACCGATTTGACTTATTATTAAATGAGTATGATAATATTTTCGGATTTTTTAGCGACATATTCAAAAGTGACAGCGATATTTTAAAACGTCGTTCTGTTCTTGAATAACGTCTGACAGATCAGGATAATAAGGATAATAGACTCCAATGATTTGTTTAATGAAATTAAAGCGTTAAAGTTGTTTTCATTGCCTGATGATAGTGACTTAAATATTTTACAATATATATTTGAAAACAATTTAATCTTCACCCTTCCAAACGTAAGCATTTCACTAAGAATTCTTCGGACATTGCCTATATCAGTAGTTTCTGGCGAGCGATCTATTTCAAAGTTAAAAATCATTAAAGGTCGACAATGCTTCAAGAAAGATTGTCTGGGCTAGCAATATTAGCAATTAAACAAGACATTTTTGATGGTATAAATTTTAGCGATGTAATTAATGAATTTGCAACAGCAAAGTCTCGGAAAATATCGCTACTACATTAGCTATTTTTTATTTTTCTATTGATTTTATAACGAAGTTACCTAGGTATTTGTTATCAGAAGTAGCTGCATATTTTTTTAAATATCTAAGTATAAGTAGAAAGTAGTAATTATATATATGTAGACATTAAGCAATATTTCTGTTATTTGTTCCTAAAATAAATATGTTTTAGTTTTGGGTTATTTTTTAGTATTTATAAACAACGTGTTTGTACCCCATTAGTTAGGTAAATGCTTTAAAATGGGTGTTAACAGTAATTTATTTTGTTATGATTTTATTCTGTTTGTTTCATTTTGATATTTTAGTCTACAAATAAATATGACTTCTTAAAATTCAGTTTTTTGCTTTATTTCAAGCACCTACCTACCTTCAAAAAAAAATTAATAAAAAAACATGATCCAAAATGCATTAAGGAGCGCCAAAATCCTTTTTTGCACACAGGCGCCAGTAACCCTTACGAGGGCCCTGAATTTAGTCGGTTGGTTTATTGGCTAACAAATAATTTGCCAACTATGTAAATAATAACGTGAATGATTGCAATTCGCCTTTTATAAACAAAACTGGTCTATTAATTGTTCGTTATTATGATGGCTACATAGGCCGAAAATAGTTTTTTTCATCGACCAGTTAGTTATTACTGGTTACATCAGAAAAGGTATATTGTTTCGTTAAAAAGACAGAAGACAGAAAAACAGTGTGAGTGTGTTATATTACTTACCCAGTTGGTCTCTATTTAAAGTAAAGAAGAAACAATTTTCTACCTCGTGTCCATTAAAAATGACAATTCTAGGAAATTCTGGTAAATTGCTAAAACTACCCCATAAACCATACAATGGAAATATCCACGTTAGTACCGGTATGGGTATGAACTTTATAATATGGAAAAGCAGAAACTTACGAATCTAAAAAATATGAGATATTAGTTTTAGAAAGTTATTAAACTAGAAATTGTAGTTAGATTAATGCATACTGTAACATTTTTTTTTTTTGTTTTATTTATCATTGCCAAATAAAACCTAATCTCGAATAGTATATCTATCTTTTAAACCGCTTCTTCATTATCCCGTCAATAGCAAGACACGTTAGTGCCGTAACTAACAACTATATTTAGCCTAGCTTCAAACCAAATTGACTTTGAAAATCTCATTCCTAACAAGTTTTTATTTCATCATTATTACATCAAGAAACTACCTTGTGGCTGTAGACCAGAGATGTAAGGTCTATATTAACCTAAACATCAGTGATGTAGTTGCCAAAGACTTGGCAAGTTGGTGCCATTCGACAGCTTAAAGATATTTACAATGCCAAGCCAAAGACAAGATTCTCATCGTGCGTAAGTAATATGCAACATCGTTCCAAACTAAAATAGTAGTAATAAATCAATGCTTAAAATAAGACATAATATAAATGGAAAAACAGTTTTCATATATTCCAACATTCAAGCGATATTAAGACACTAAATTCCATGTAGTTACATTTTAAAGTTTTTTTTTTGGCATTGCCTGAAACCCACATCAGTGTTAAGTAGTCAAAATAGGCTGGGTACCAGACCACAATAGACATAATGGCAATGAAGATGGAGATTCACTAGCCAGAGAAAGATCTTCAAAGGCTAGATATACATGGCCCCCAACCCTTTTATGTGGTTAAAATGACAGTCTTCAGAACATCAAAAATCAATTAATGTTAAACAAAAATTGTGGAATATGTCAGGACAGTGGCAAACCAAACAGTTCATAAAAGGACCATCTACAAAACTCACTGAGCATCTACTAAGACTGATATTCCTTACACTTATAAAAGGAAAATCAAGAGAAAATTGTTACATAGAAGAGTTACTTTCTAATTTTTAAAGTATTCTAGAAAATACCAAAATAAACAATGCTATAATTACCAATCAAAAAATATGTCCTCTAGATTTGAAAAGGGTGAGATGGTGGTAGTTTGCTAGTTGCTTTAAACCTTATTTTGGTTTTTTGTTACAGTGTATTCTAAAAATATATATTTCTTCTTGTGCACTTCATGTAGTTATTGTATAATTTCTGAGTACCTCTTCTTGAATTCGAAGGGACAAAAAGTTATTTTTTTTTATCTGAAATATACTAATTTATTTCTCTTATTATTTCCTTAAATTTTAAACTCATTCATCAATAGATACCCAGCCCAATGGTCATAAGACGCCATAACAAGGGTGCAGGCAAAATAGCTCTATGTAAAAAACGCCAAGACAAACATTGTAAGTCTAAAATAGCGCAAACTAAACATATGATTTTTTTTTTAAATTCTATTATTACATAAAATATTATACCTATATTTTAGATTACTCAAACCATCTCCAGACAAAATAACGCGAAGATGCTTCTTTTTTGAACTAAATAAAAATATATTTTCCTAAATAAGTTTTAGTTTCAACCTAACCAATTCCATGTTGTGTTATGGGGTATCAAGTACACTTACTCCTTCTGCCGTTAAAACAGCAAAAGAGTAGGTAGTATGGACGTCTACAACGACCCTTTTAATCATATCATCATAAGGAAGTTTAGTATTTAAAGTGGCTAGCACTCTTATATTTGGTATTCTCCTTTGAAATCTGTAGTTCAACAAATTCAGTCACAAAGCGAAAAAAAGTTCCATCCTCTTTCTCATAGAATATTCAGTCACTATCTTTTACTAGTTCAAGTTTATTAAGGTCTCACAAAAGGTGTTTAAACTCTTTTGCTTGCAAGACTATCTGCAATTTCGTTACCCTTCACCTAGCTCATTCAGTTTTTCTAAGCATCTAAAAACCATTATTGGACTGATTATCTCTTTTCTGCAATAGTTTGAACGATGTTGACCTTAATATATTTTAAAATGATGTGAGTTTTTAGCCAGGAAGGTGTTTGGATATCTACCCAAACTCTAAGAGTACTTGGTTCTAGTTCCGCAGATTTCAAATCCAGTTCTTTTTGTGGTTTTCCGTATCAGAGCTGGGATGAATCCTCAAAAAAATTGATTCGGATAACGAATACATATCACTGTCAGTGTCATTAATTATGTATACTTCCAAATTTAATATAAAATCTAAATTGAGGAATTAAAACTTCTGCAATTTCGCCCTATTTACAATTAGTTTGGTCTTAAATAGGATTAGAGACTATAATTGGTGATTCGAATACGAATACTTTAGGATTTCTTCGGCGAATCCGGATCACGGATCCATTTTCGCCATACCGCCCGAGGAGCCTAAAAAAGTATTGAAAACTCGGTGGTTTTGTAGTTATTCATAAAACTTATTTCTCATTTCGTCCTAGACTTGTTTCAGATATCTTCAGACTTGAAATATTCCGTCTAATTGCTTCGTTCCTAATCATTCTATATCTTGTCCTTTTTGCCACGTCCTCTATCATTCAATGTAGAGGTGTAAGGTTTGAGACCACATTCATTTAGGCCATATGACAGGTTCTCATTGCACTAGTGATGCAAAGACAACCAATTCTACGTATTGTACATAAAATTAATGAAGTAAAAACCTAACTATACCTAATCAATTCGATCTAAAGTAACAATTGTGTCTTATTTAGCCTACCAATAAAAAAATACTTTGTAGTTGCATTAATGTATTCATAAAAGTATCAAATGTCAAAAATCAATCATATTAAACTGCAAAACGTAGCCATCCTTTAGAAGCTCGACAGTAGGAGTTAGTTTATAAATTATATGCTCAGGACCTTTTTTTTTAAGGTCGACACAGGAGGACTTGGTTTATAGAATTATAATATTAGAATCTGAACAAACCACCTCGACCACCTGCTTTATAAATTTATAAGCTCAGGCCTCTCTTGGCCCTCGTACACTACTTACGGTTTTTGAACTGGCTCTTTAAAAATCTGTGTTGTGCAGACATTTTACAGGAATAGTTAGGGTCTGATATCAGAAAAAGAACCCTGATACGTATACCTATTTATATTTATGTATCTATATATTGGTTAATTTGCTGAGGCATAGCTAATATTTAACTTCAGCATACCACGTACTCGTAAATCGTGACAGATCATATAGATTTGTATACAAATAGAAAAATTTCAGATACGAGTTTGCGAAACTATATTTAAAATTAACTAAAATACTTACTTGAAAATCAATCATAGTTGAAAATGTTCTAGAATTTTTTTTTAAATATTCTAATCTCTTAAGAAGGGAACTTGACCCAGTTGCAATTGGAATGCTTAAAACAACATATCCAAATTGATTCCTTATTACTGGTGTACCATTTATAGTTAGTGGTTCCAAATCTTTGACAAAAATAATACCAAAAGGTAATATCTTCGGAATATGATCACCTTTCTAAAAAGTATGTAAAATTGCCGTAATTTTAATGAAACATCCGTATTTTAAAACTTACACTTTGAAAATGGGTGTATAAGCTAGCAGATATAAGTGTAAGTAAGACTTCTGTAAAGCTGGTATCACCAATATCTTTTTTAATTTTTTTCAGTTTTTTAATTAAATGTTCACCAGTTTTTTCAGCTTTAAATGTCATAACTTGTTTATGAACAATAATGGGTCCGTCAAAATTATTTATAAAAAGTTTGATCTTCTCCACAATATAGAATCCTAAAAATAACAATTCTAAGCATTTCTTAAAATACAATGATAATATCATACATGTATCATTCGAGATATTCGAGGTATGACTTAATAATAATAATTAGTTTTAAATTGTTTTATTGAATATATCTACAATTTAATATTGTCTGCTTCAAAATGTGCTCCTTGGGAAAGCACACAGTGTCTTCAATGAGTTTTCCATTCCAGGTAACAATTCTGGAACTCTTGTTCCATTAGGCTGCGTCGTGATTTTTTAGATGTTGTTTGTTGTTCCGTAATGGTAACCTTTTAATTTTCACTTAAGAGCAAACCTAACACCTTGAAGATTTATAATTTCTTCTGAGCCTTTATTCATAGTCCGATTTTTGTAAATTTTCAGGAAATATCAATAATAACAAAACATAGGGTGGAGAAACCTTGAATTTTTCGTAATCCTTCAAAAAGTATTTATTTTGAAAAAAAATAAAAGGAATTAAAAAATACGAATCTAGACAAATTTGCTGCTTTTTGTTTTAAAAAATATCTAGTAGTTTTTAAATTAAATGATTTCTCATCTTTTTTTTAAACATCTCTGTAGAGTGCGACGCCTTATCGTTGCACAAATTTAATGCTCTTTATTTTCTCGAGGCACATTATATAGCGAAGTATTTTCAGTAGCGCACTTATAAATACAATTATATTAATAAATCCTTCAAATATGTTTGCTTTTGTGTCGGTTTGCTCTCAAACATTGGGCCAGACCACAGACCAAGAAACAGAAACAGAAACTGTGGAGTAATAAAGCATACAGGTGAAGGATATGTCAAACTAAAGTTTAGGAATTGGGCCGTGATGAAATATTTCCTACTTTTGTAAGGGGTGCTCAAAACTTATATATAGATATCACAATCTCAACGTCAAAAATATCAAGAATTGTTCAAAACTGGCAGGTGTGGAATGAAGAATCATTCAGTTACCACAAATATATTAGCTTTGTAATCCAAAAATCAACCGAAAAACAATTAACCACTCTTAGTTAGGGAGGTGTTCAGAGGCTCTCTGCAACTCACATGCCCAAATGCTAGCAATACAGTACAAAGATTTACGAACTGCGTAAAAAATGCACAGAATGCAAGTCTGGAAAGACATGCAGGCACCACAAGAATGCAACCCTACTGGTTAAACGAAATCATAAATAGAATAAGGAAAGAATGTAATGTAGCATAAAGGAAACTGTCAAGATCTAGAACTAGAGGAAACAACGTAGAGACTGCGCGATTGGAAGACGAATATAAACAGACTAGAAAAGGCAATTAAAAAGCAAAAAGAGAAAGTTGGAAGAACCTCTGTGCTCAACTTGAACAAGACATCTGGAGACAAGGCTACAAACTAGTTACTGACAGGATAGCGCGCTATAACTCCGTGTGAGCTGAAAAAAGATAAAAATTAGAGGCTGTTAAAAAGCTCTTTCCTGGGTAAGAATTATTTTCCAACTCATAAACCAACTATTGCTAGACACTTGCCCAGGAACTTAAAGAAGCCGGAGAAAAATTAAAAACAGGCAAGGCCCCTGGTCTAAATGGTACTTTTACGGAGTCAGTGAAAATAACAATAAAAATGCTAAATATATTTGTTCTGTTGTCTATTTAAAATCAAATTAAGCTCCTTTCTGTAAAACGTATTTTATTTCCCAAAAACTGACATTATATAGGCAATAGTCTAGTCTATGACAATATTTAATGGTATGTTGGATCTGCACGACGTCCCTATTGCATGGAAGAGAGCAAAGGTTATATTAATCCCAAAGGGGAACTAGTTAGAGGCCAATTTGTCTAATTGATATATTGGGAAAGCTGTTTGAATAACTAATAAAAAGAAGACTTAAGGTAGAGCTGGAGAAGAAGGTTGCTATCTCTGGAACACAATTTGGATTTAGGAGCGGTAGATCAACAGTAGATGCTCTAGAATCTGTAATGACTCTGGTAAAGGGAGGAAATTACACCTAAAATACACTAATTCTTATAGACGTGAGAAATGCATTTAACACGACTAGTTGGATTTTAATAATGAACAAGTTACAGGAAACTGAAATAAGTCAATATCTAATTAACATCATTGGAAGCTACTTGAGAGATAGAAAACTGCAAGTGGGTACCCAGGAGATAGAAATGACTTATGGAGTTCCACAGGGTACGGTCTTTGGTCCGACACTGTAAAACTTTCTGTATGACGGGATCCTCAGACAAGACCTAGGTAGTGGATGTAACACAGTTGCCTATGCTGATGACCTTGCCCGGATCGTAAAGGCTAACACAAAAGAGGACTTAATTCAAAACGCCAATTGTGCACCAATGGACGTACATCAATGAATGAAAATACATAAACTTGAAATAGCATCAGAAAAAAACGAAACGGTTACTATCAAAGGTAAGAGAGTTAGAGAAGGTATTCAATTTAAATTAGAGAACTATTGTCAATACTCCAGTTAAGGTATTCAAATATTTGGGGTATGGATTGATGACAAAGGCATTTTTAATATTCAAGTCATGAAGATAGCAGTAAAGGCAGAGAAGTAAGTGACAGCTCTATCAAGAATCTTGACTAACATGGGAAGACCAAGCAGCACCAAAAGGCCATTGATTTATGGGGTGGTGTAATCAACAGTTCTGTATACGGCACCAATATGGGCTATAGCAGTAAGTAAAAACAAACCTAAGAATCTGGTGTTTAGAGTACAACGGTATCAGGAGAAGCACTGCAAGCAATCACTGGGTGTATTCTTCTGGATATACTTGTATATGAAAGAGCAAGGCTATACGACAGACGAACAAATGATGCGGAAGTTAAAAAATCCAAAAGACAGATCAATAGATATCTGGCAGAATAGGTGAAGCAGCAATACTAATAAAGCTGTTTGGACGAGGAAGTTAATTCCAAATATCCCAAATTGGTTAGACTGAAAGTTTAAGCCAATTTTTCACGGGACACGGCTCTTTTAGGGCTTGTGCCTGCAGAATTGGTAAGACACCTGACAGTAATTGTATATACTGTAACGAGGAGGATACGATGGAGCACACATTTTTTAAATGCAACAGATGGGCAAGATACAGACAGATAATAGAATTATCACTAGTAGCTGAAATAAATTTATGACCGACAAGACGAAATGGGCCGAAGGAACAAAAGAAATAATAGAGATTATGAAGTATAAAGAGAAAGAGGAAAGAGACAATCAAGGAAGAAAATGTAAAGACTGACAGACGAATAAAGCAATACTCGCAAGAGTTGTACCGGCATCTCTGTGACATGAGGTGGTTTTAGCAGGTAGGTTATCGCTTATTGGTAGAATCCTACACATCTAGGTTCATGTCCCAGATAGTCTTTGCAAGACTTTCACCTCTTAAAAAAAAGACCACAGACCATACCTTTGGCCAGACAGCGAATCAAACCTTTTATCGCAAGATTCTTAAACGTTTGCGGAAAAGAGTTTTGCGTTTGCGGCCTAACATTTCCGGCTCATGCTAATTCCCCCATTCACAGGTTATTATCGCTTATAGAATTTTGGACAGAGAAAAACATTCCAGTACTCTTACTCCTACATTCTTCTTAGAGTCTAGGCTTTCATACTTGTTATCAGAGATGGAAAACTCGCTGAAGACGGTGCGTGCATTTTTAAGGAGCATACTTTGAAGAAGACAATATTAAATTGTAGATACTTTTAATAAAACACCTCGTAAAATTGTTAATAATTAATCTGTCGTTGTTTATAGCAAGGTTTTTTATTTATACTACAGTAATAAAATAAAGAGCTGTTCTGATACTAACCTGGAACAATAAGAAAGAAAAACAACTTTAGCAAAATATCCATTACGGGATTCTTCGTCCACTCCGCACTCTTTGGTATATTTTTGAAAGTTTTATCCAAACGTATATCGTTCTCTCCCAAAATTTCTGCACATAAATTCATAAAACTAAGACCATCTCCAAGTGCATGATTTAATCTTATAATTACAGCTACCTAATAAATATTTAAAAATATTTACTGATATAAAAATGTAACTAATTCAAAATTTTAGTAACATTAAACATTAGTCGTTTTCTGTTTACATGCAAACGGAAAATTCAAGCAGTCTCTTTAAACGTATAGAATTACCAAGTAAAATTCAATTCGAATTGACATAACTATGAAAGAAAGACTTTATATAATATTGTCGAGAGACTAACGCACTCATTCGAGAGGTTACTAGAGAAATCGTTACGCGTCGGCTGACTTATAGAGGAAGAAATCCCAGAGATTCTAGACCGTCGAGAATGTACCTATGCAGAGCTGGCTTTATATACCTAGCGAGACTTTGTCGGTAGACGTTAAGATTCAATATAAGTGTTGTATAGTAAAGATAATTGTAAACGAAGTTGGTTTCATTTTGAGTCTGTAGGAGACAAATCCATAGCGTGAAAAACATAAATTCTAATGCAGCAACAAGGGACCAGAGAAAATCTATATGGAATGGACTAAGGTTCAATGAAAGAGGCCATTTTCAGAAGTCAGTCAATAGGGACCTACTAGTAGCAGCTATGTGCAGTAGCAGTCTTACAGTAGCCAGGAAAGCAGTCCAAAGCAGTAAGTCAACCAGAAGGTCTACAGTCTATTAGAAAATGGATAGACTACAGCAGCCCAAGGACTAAAACAGATCTGGAAGGAACCAATCCAGACAGATTAGGGATTAGAGAATAATGCGAAGTGATCATCAAAGAGTGAAGGGTAGTTACCACCAACCAAACAAAAACACAACTTGTGCAGTGAAGCGAGCGTAAGGTTACCACATATATTGTTCTGGATAATTTTGATAATTTTCGTAAATTATTTACATTAAGGGTTTTAAAAAGAATTGAACAAGTATTACAAAGTTTTTTCTGTCGAGAGAATAATGCAATAATTGGTATTATTATTTGAAAATATAAAGAATTTTACAAAAATTCTAAAAAGTATTTTTTACTGTTTTAACTTTATATTTAATTGAAATAAAACAATTAGATTATTACTCTAGTCAATGGCTTACATAAAACTAGAAAATTTTCCAAGGTAGTACATAAATAGTAAAACTCACGTAAATTTTGGGTTTAAATAGAGAGACGAGTCTTAAGTACAATACTCAAGGAAGAACTGCGGTCCAAAACTCTTGCCAATAGGCGAGACTCTCATTTCGGAACCTTAAGTCCCGAAATACCATAATGTGTAAAGTTTTGTGCAGCGATTTGTGTACTATAGGTAAATGCATTTAACTTATTTTAACATGTTGTTTGGTTTTATTCTGAAATAATTAATTGATTACCAATAAAAGCCAATTTTTACATTTTCGTCTCAAATTTATGTATCTTACATTTGTTTTATATTTATCAATATTCATTTATTTTAATATTCTTTCCATAAATTTAAATGGTTATTTATTCTTGAGTCTATTAGTCATTTTGTAATTATTTTACTAGAATGAGTCTATAACTAGTTGTTAAAGCCGCTCGACTATGGTATTAAGGGATAATTTTGATTTTTAAATAGATTTTTAAATATTTTTTTTGCCACTAGTGAATGACTGTTCATTCGGGGCTCCAGAACCTTTTGGCTGGTGACAGTGCTGCCTTCATCTCTTAATAGTATATTGACAACAGTAGTTTCAAATGGGTCGTTAGGCTAGTTGGTTGTTACAGTGGTGACGAGCGGTGGTTCTTTAGACTACCTGGTTGTTACATTAAACTTTCCATTTAGGTACAGATACAAGTCGATATTAGGTTGGAGAGAACACTTTTTCAATTGCATCATTGGCAACCTCGAACAGTGGGATGAACAAATCCAAATATTTAAATAGGGAAAGTAACTAGGATAACACATCATTAAAAAGGTAATATGATTGATAATTTGGCAATAAGACTATTGCACTTGAAAGCTAATTGTAAAAGTAACGCCGAATTATCCATCAAATACCTTTTCAATGATCTGTCATCCCTATTTAAATTTAGTTAAAGTGTCTATGCTGCTATTAGAAAAAAAGTGTCTACCTCCAAACTGCAATCGACCTGTACGAGCCTTTTTTGTTTTTTGAATCAATACGAAAAATACCTAAGTGGAAAATGTTCAGTGGTGAATCCTACATTTACACCGAAAGTAGCAAAACCGGACGACAAAAAATGCTTGCCAGATGATTTTTTTATTGGTATAGATCTAGAAACATTATTTCATTGCCAGCAAAAGTCACACAACAGCTTCCACTACCGGAACATAGTACATATCCTCTCCTGTACCCAACAACAAATAGCAAGCAAAAAACACGACGCGTTCGATGAGAGACTACCAAATGCTCAATTCGATTTTTATATTATTGGTCTCTGTTGTAGTCGTGGGCGGTGTCTTATAATCTATTTACGGTTTGTAAAATAAATGACCTACCTGATGATTTTTTAAATTATTTAATCTGTTCCATTTATCGGAAGCCTTAAGAAAAGTTACCTCCCAAAGTAACTTATTATCTAAAGGTAAAGGCTTACTGCTGTACGCTGAAAGAATGTCTTGGATATTTTTAAAATTCGATTTATCAACTTCTAGTGTATTTACAATGTTATCAGCTGTTACATTTTCTCTCAGAAAGAATGGGTAACCTAAAAAAATGTTTTTTATAAATAATTGGAACAAGAGCAAGGAAGTTTTGTCGGAAGATTGGGTGTAAAAAAGTAGGTAATTATACCAGATGTTCTATATTCAAAAGTAAGTCGATTAGCTTAATTTTCTATATGCGAAAGTGAATACAAAAAGTCTTTTCCAATAACTCGAAAATTGGTAAGCAATTTTTTTGTGAACATAGTCGTGGTCTTCTTAAAGTAAGAGCAACTATGGAAGAAAAAATTACGAGAACGCATTACATAAAAATTTTATGGGGTTTGTGATCCACTAGAGTACTTCTTTAAATGAGGAGCTTTGGAGTAAAACCGAATAAATCCTTTTTTTATTAAAATTAAGTTAGCGGCGGTTTTTAACTTACTTTGTTAAATTACATCTTTATAGACTACCTGTCCGAACCAACCCAAATAAACCTTTGTAAAATTCAGTGTCGAAATTGATGTTTTTGTGCAAAACCAAATAAATCCACCTAGACCAGAGCATACTGGCGCATTTGTTTGCAAAATTGTTTTAATTCGTATTTTTTTTTTTTAATGTCCGGAAGGCTTTCCTGATTATAAAAGTGACACTCGATTTTTGTTGATGTTATTGTTTAAACAACGAAAAATTAATTAAGCCAGAAAAAATGCATTTTTTGCAATGAATTATTTTTTTTATATTCTTTAGGATATTTCGAATAAAAAAGTCTTTACCCATCATCGTATCTTCAACCCTTTAATTGTTATGAATTTTTTAAAATTCAAAATTGACGAAAATTCTAATTTTCTTAAATTAAATAATATACCTTAAAATTTAAAATGCTCTAATTTTAAATTTTTAACTGAATATTCAAACTATAATAAACAAAATTACCTAATTAAATTTTCAAAATTATGTTTGTTGTTATGTTTTCTTTTACGTTTTAACAATATGCTTCCTACGCACCACGATGCCACGAAAAAGATTGTTCACTAGTATTTTCGTTAAACAACAAATTAAATCGCACAGTCACGTTATCGTTTCGACGAAGAGTTGCATTTTTTAATTTTAAATATGTATCAGGTTTCGGACACTTCACTAACGCCTCGCCATGATCACAAAATAAACACTTTTTGTCGTCAGATAATTTAATTTTTTTTTTTGGAATTAAAGAGAACGACATTATTACTCAGAAAATTACACGACTGCAAAGTAAACCAGTAGATGTAGAATCGAGAGCAAGACTGATTAACAACTGAAAAATAATTTTCAGAACAAGCCAAAAATTCTAAGGTAGGGATTTTCTATTTGGAAGGTTGTAAAAATTGTTTATGACAGGAAAAAAATAGAAGAAGAGTTAAACGTACAAGTTTTTCAAAATACGAAATAAGTCCCTTTACCTATTTGTATTCATAGTGAAAAAGATTGAAAGTTATAAAAAACTTTTATATTTATAGTACTTACTTTCAATATTAGAAAAACATTTTTTTTTTTCCTTATTTTTGTTAAATGGAGAAAGGCTTGGATATTTTTGAAATCATAAATCATAACAGGTAGAAATTTTTCACGGATCACGACAAGAACATTTAGCATTTTTATCGTATTGAAAAAAAAAAGGTCGAAGAAGATTTTACTTCTCAGGCAGTATCTGACAATAATTTTTTCATGAATAAAAATAAATGTTAAAATTAAATGTTTCTGTTAACTTTAATAAATAAAAAAGTTATCAAAAGTATCTAAAAAATTTATTTAGGTAATTTTGTTTATTATAGTTTGAATATTCGGTAAAAAAATTAAAATTATAGCATTTTAAATTTTAAGGTATATTATTTAATTCAAGAAAATTTGAATTTTCGTCAATTTTGGATTTTAAAAAATTCATAACAATTAAAGGGTTGAAGATACGATGATGGGGGTAAAGACTTTTTTTATTCGAAATATCCTAAAGAATATAAAAAAAATTAATTCATTGCAAAAAATGCATTTTTTTTGGCTTAATTAATTTTTCGTTGTTTAAACAATAACATCAACAAATATCGAGTGTCATCTTACACTTTTATAATCAGGAAAGCCTTCCGGACATTTTAAAAAAAATTACGAATTAAAACAATTTTGCAAACGAATGCGCCACTATGCCCTGCACTAACTAGTAAAGAGGTGTAAACAACACACCGGCATTCGCTGTAGTTTAAAAACAGTTTGTAAGAGATATTTCTTTTATTTTGATTTGTTTTTCTCTTAAATTAGTGCACATAGTTCTGAATTTTGATTTGTGTAAAACTGAATAAATCAATTTTTTGTCACATTTTTAACAAAAATCATTTTTTAAAATTATAATTGCAAAGGTTGTGTATTAATTATGACGTCCCCAATAGAATTATTATAACAAAACAAACGAAAAAAAAACGGTACTTTTTGTGCCATTGGAAAATTGTGTTTTCCCAAAAATCGTTTATAGTGGATTTATTCGGTTTTGCTCCTAAGCAATTGTTATGACTCAAAGAAAAATGTACCGTATTTTAAAAGAAACACAAAATCGAAAAAGCAAAGGTCATAAAAAAACTGGACAAGTAGTTGGGACAATTATTTACGATATCTATCATAGAGAAATGATTTAACTGAAGAGGAATGTAAAGAATAAGAAGAGGAGAGCGAAGAATAAGAAAAAAAATCACTGTCTTTACTATAACTACTAGTAGCAATATCATTATCTGAGGTTTATTATTATAGGAGCTTTTTTACAATAAAATATATAGGTTACCTTGGAATTTATTGAGAAATTAATATTAAAAAAAATTTTGAAGTAACCTAGTTGAAAATTTTTTGTGATTTTTTAATATTAATTTCTCAATAAATTCCACGGTAACCTATATATTTTATTGTAAAAAACAAAACCTAAATATTTCAAAAACCTTATTTTTAGTTTTTTTCTACTCCATCTAATCAATAAATAATAGTAAAATTAATTATAATTCGAAAATTGTTGTTGTAGTCTTAGTTTCTCGTAAGACACTGTACAAACACACACATTTTTAAAAAAAAATTCTCAAAAAATTGCACGGTAAGGTATAGTTAAAAGTTCACTATTAGATAAATAAGGACTTCTACTATTAGAAAAAAATTAATTTTAGTCATAATCTAATATTTTTTATTTAACATTGGTGGCGAAAGGACTTCCTTAAGTTTCCCATTGCTATATCCACTTTCCAAAATAAATTTTCCAGCTTTTTAATATAATCAATGCATTTTTTTCAATGTTCTCCATTTACATCTGAAACTGTCTTCAGAAACAAATTTCACACATCAATTTAAATGTATTGTTTCGAGAAACATCCTTTTAATTATGACCAGATCAGTTCCATGGGATTAAACTCTGCGTGGTAAGGAGGCAATCTGAGAATTTCAATTCCTTTTTTCGGGCCATCTCGTCTATAATATATTTTTTGAATTTGTTTTTATGTTGCCTTGCTATTACAAGTAATTCTGGCTTCAAGGATTTAGGAGGACTAAAAACACAGCCCCACAAAAAAAATTGTTCAAACTTGACGGTCGGACATATGTATTCCCATGTATTTTTCGGCGCTGATTCCGATTCCGAGCTCAAAAATGGCCCACCACGTCTGGAATTGGCCCCATGGGCCAAAAATGGCTTCTATATGGCCTGAAAGGTGGAAGAGTCAGGACTGGCTCAAATCGAGTTCCTGAGGGTTTTTGAGGTCGCTGATCACGATTATGATGTTAAAATTTCCAAATTTCACGTCGAAAACGATCCTCGAACACATAGTGCACCGAAACGTCGTCTCCGAGGGTTCTCCAGACACAATCGCTAAAAAAAACGAAAATCGGGGTTTCTAGGCACCTAAAATCCAAATTCCATCACAAAAACGTACCTCCGGAGACCTGGTGTACCGGAACTCCGGCCTGAACGTCATCTGGGAGGGTTTTCCTCACACAATCGAGACTACTGTGTCTTATTAGAGATCCCCGTATACCTCACTGAATGTATATACTTCCGTATGAGGAAGTATTTTTGAAACTACTCTTTATACTTGACAATCGAGTGTAGAGGACTACATGGGTAAAGGATAGACGCATTAGAATCGGTGGATGGGGCATTTGACATCTTTTAGATATCATGGAAAACTATCACAGGAGAATACCACTCGATTACTACGTCCCAAACACGACTTTCCGGCCCTTAAGGGGTCGTTTTCCCGGTCCCAAAGGGGGAAAGGGGGAATTCCAGTTGGCCATAAACTTTTTGAGCACGGTATTTTTTCCAGAATTTAAAAGTACATAAAAATACCACCAATGCCATTGCGACGTCCGAAACATGATTTTCCGGCCCCTGATGGGCCATTTTCCCGGTCCCAAACGTGAAATTTCAGTTAGCCATAAACTTTTCGAGCACAATATTCATTCCAGAATTCAAAATACATATAAATACCACTGATGCCATGCGACGTCCGAAACACGATTTTTTGGCCCTTACTGGGCATTTTCCCGGCCCGCACAGGGAATTACAGTTGTCCGTGAACTTTTCGACCACAAACCCGACTTCAGCTTTAGAATGCACCTTCAACTACACCTCATCTCGAAATCCACCTTTCAGGCCATATAGAAGCCATTTTTGGCCCCTGGTGCCAGTTCCAGACGTGGAGGGCCATTTCTGTGCTCGGGATCGGAATCAGCGTCGAAAAATACACGGGAATACATATGTCCGACCGCCAAGTCTGAACACTTTTTTTTGTGGGGCTGTGTAATAATATTTGGAATGAAGCCATTTTAATATATTTACTTTTCCATCTTGTTGTAGGTAGTAACTCCTTTAATCGACTGTGATAGGATGCATTATCCAAAACTATAACGGAGTTGGCTGGCATTTTTTTATAATGTTGTGAAACCAATTTTCAAACATAGGACCATCAATTTCTTTATGGTAGTCTTTTGCTTTCTTCAACTCGAACATTAATAAACCATCTGGCAAAAATCCATCGGTGCTTCCAATGTAGGTTATTATTAAACGATTTGTTTTTCCTGTTGGGTTTAATTCACAAGAAAGCCCTTCCAAAAAGCCTTGGAAGTATCTTGCCTAATTTTTGTTACTGTATGTCCAGAATTAACCCATGTTTCATCTAAATTAAATACCTGTTTATGCTGACTCCTTGTGTCCGCTATTTTTCTAAAATAATCATGTCTCTACGTAAGTCTTTCTCCGTTAAAAAGCTGTCATGTTTTTTGTAATGAAAATTTAATTTATATAATATTTTTTTCAGATGAAAATATGATATATTTGGAAAAATTAGGAATCAATTAAAATACATACGATACGGCTATGAATAAATAAAGACTTATCTGTCAAAAGAAAAGTTTTATTACAGTTAAAACCATGAAAACAAAACTAAATCTAAACGGAAACTTTTATCAGGCCAATCAGGTGTATTAAAATTTCCATTTTAACTACAAATAAGAATTGAAGGGTGAGGTATAAATAAAATGTCTACCTTTTGAACCTGTACTACATTCTGCAAATTAAATTACTCTCTAGACTATAAAGATTTATGCGAAACGTCAATGTGAAGTTTGTTAAAAAGGAGACGAAATTATAAATACAGAATCAAATACAGAATCGACTCCATCTTACGGAAACAAAGCAAATGATGTTTATAAAAGTTATGTTTATATTGCTAAATAATCTCTACAAATACCACGCAAGGTGAGAACTTTTACACATTATGCAAATTTTCAGAGAAATAACAGAATGTTCTCAAAAATTATCACCTTTTGTGGTAATACCCTTGAAAAGTATTTGTAAATTAACCCAATTAATCTCGTGAAATTACTTTCAGATCAAACAATTGTTTTTATAAATACTATAATTACTGGGTATACATACATATATGATGTGACTGAAATAACACTCATAACTAGTGATATATAAAAAATATGAGTAAATACAATTTCGTTTCATTAATGAATTTGAATAATAATTTTTAATAACTTTTTTGGCTAGGCCATACTTACCCAAGAACATATGTACTGAACACATCAATCTTCCAAATTTATCTGGATACTTAAACAACCTTTCTTGAATTACTCTTTTAGCGTTTGCCTCAATATCTTCATCCTTATTATTGCCATTTAATATCAGTAGTAATTTACTTACATTATGATAAGTTTCCTTAAGTGCAAATAAAGTATCTGCACTGTCTAAAAATACTGCTCTTTCTCCGTACCTTATTTTGATGTAAAAGAAAACAAATATACTTAGTAACCACATCAATGTAAATATTATTAAATAACCTGGGAGGGTCAGTATTGAGCAAATAATATATGGAATAAGCATTTTCTTAAGTAATAAAAATAATTAAAGGCAATTCTGAAAATAAAAATAAATGTAACATTGGAAAAATAATATATAAATTAATGACCTGACCTAAACAAATACTTCTTGACCTGTTTTTTTAATCAATAATTAACATTATTGTATAACTTACCAAATTATAATGAGGTTTATCAATCACGTTTAGAGTAAATAACAAGATTAATAATTTTATCCAAATTTGTTCCGGTTATATCAATAAAAAATTATTTTTAAAATTATCGAAGCTGGCCACGATTTATAGTTGATATCTTGTTTTTATCGTGTCGGATAAGTTAGGCTTCGATCGAACATTGTTTGAATATATTTTCGCGATGATGTCTGTGTGTGTGTGTGTGTGTGTGTGTGTGTGTGTGTGTGTGTGTGTGTGTGTGTGTGTGTGTGTGTGTGTGTGTGTGTGTGTGTGTGTGTGTGTGTGTGTGTGTGTGTGTGTGTGTGTGTGTGTGTGTGTGTGTGTGTGTGTGTGTGTGTGTGTGTGTGTGTGTGTGTGTGTGTGTGTGTGTGTGTGTGTGTGTGTGTGTGTGTGTGTGTGTGTGTGTGTGTGTGTGTGTGTGTGTGTGTGTGTGTGTGTGTGTGTGTGTGTGTGTGTGTGTGTGTGTGTGTGTGTGTGTGTGTGTGTGTGTGTGTGTGTGTGTGTGTGTGTGTGTGTGTGTGTGTGTGTGTGTGTGTGTGTGTGTGTGTGTGTGTGTGTGTGTGTGTGTGTGTGTGTGTGTGTGTGTGTGTGTGTGTGTGTGTGTGTGTGTGTGTGTGTGTGTGTGTGTGTGTGTGTGTGTGTGTGTGTGTGTGTGTGTGTGTGTGTGTGTGTGTGTGTGTGTGTGTGTGTGTGTGTGTGTGTGTGTGTGTGTGTGTGTGTGTGTGTGTGTGTGTGTGTGTGTGTGTGTGTGTGTGTGTGTGTGTGTGTGTGTGTGTGTGTGTGTGTGTGTGTGTGTGTGTGTGTGTGTGTGTGTGTGTGTGTGTGTGTGTGTGTGTGTGTGTGTGTGTGTGTGTGTGTGTGTGTGTGTGTGTGTGTGTGTGTGTGTGTGTGTGTGTGTGTGTGTGTGTGTGTGTGTGTGTGTGTGTGTGTGTGTGTGTGTGTGTGTGTGTGTGTGTGTGTGTGTGTGTGTGTGTGTGTGTGTGTGTGTGTGTGTGTGTGTGTGTGTGTGTGTGTGTGTGTGTGTTGTGTGTGTGTGTGTGTGTGTTGTGTGTGTGTGTTGTGTGTGTGTTGTGTGTGTGTTGTGTGTGTGTGTTGTGTGTGTGTGTTGTGTGTGTGTATTGTGTGTGTGTGCGCGTGTCTCTATGTGTTTGTGTGTGTGTATGTGTGTATGTGTGTATGTGTGTATGTGTGTGTGTGTGTGGTGTGTGTGTGTGTGTGCGCACGCGCGTGTCTCTATGTGTGTGTGTGTGCGCGCGTGTGTCTGTGTGTGTGTGTCTGTATCCTCGATAACTCATGAATGGTTACAAATAAAAACACCAAATTTTAAATTTAAGCTTTATTCCGGCTTTCAGTGAACTGATTAGATTTTGGACAGAGTCGGAACATCTAGGAGGGTACTTTATGGGTGGTCATTTTTATATTTTATGAAATATATCTGTTTTTTACGTTTGGAAAATAAAATTCTTTAAATTAAAGTTATTTACAATATTATTAGCTATAATTTTTGTTCTATACAATTTTTTTCTAAAATGGTCCGTATTCGAGAAATTTTACAAAATGTAAAAAATTATTTTTTTATAAAAGTTGTTTAAATAAAAGTTGTTTGTATTATAATTCTCTATAGTTTTTATATTTTACATAATTTCTCCAAAATGGACCGTATTCGAGATATTTGAGAAAATGTGTAAAGTTTGAATTTTGAAGAAAACTCAAAAACGAATAAAGGAAAAACATTAAATTTTAAACTTAAGTTTTATTTCGGCCTGAGGTAAAATGATTAGATTTTGGACAAAGTCGGAACATCTGGGGGGGCTACTTTATGGGAGGGCGTTTTATATTTTATGGTATATACAGGGTGTTTCTAAATTCAATGGACAAAATTCAGGAGGTGATTGCTCGTATAAAATTAAGATGGGTATTTCCTATAACAAAATTTCCTCAGCCACCCCTTTCCGAGATACCACCCTTAAAAGGTGGTGACTAAAATTGAGTTTTTATTTATTTTTTTTTAATTTCAGTAAAGATATTTTGGCTAGAGGTGGTCATTTCCAGCATTATTATGAATCGTTTTACATTTTACTTCTTTACTGTATTTGTTATTTACGTTTGGAAAAGAAATATTATTATCTATAATTTTTGTTTAATGCCAAATTTTCATGAAATGGTCCGTATTTGAGAAATTTGACAAAATGTGCAAATTTCTGATTTTTAAGAAAATTGTTAAACTGAAAGTTGTTTACGATATCGATCTCTATAATTTTGGTTTTTTACATGATTTTTCTAAAATAATGGAAAAATTGTAGGAAAAGTGCTTAAGTTAAATTTTTCAGTATTTTCTTTTTCAATGAATTTCTATAGAAAAATGTTTCGAGTTAAATCTGGAAAATGTATATATTTAGTTTATCCCAAACATGTATAGAGGTGATGCAATAGGTTGTACAAAATAACCGGAAAAAGCCTATAATAACTAGATAGGAAAGTTATGTGTTGGACACATCAGATTTTTTGCTATACTTGATCATAAAACCTTGAAAATGTTAACCGAGAGGAAGTACTTATATAGGTAATACCTAATTCAAATTATTCTTACATTTTAAACTATGTATCCTCCTTGACAAAGAAAAATAAACCTTAGTGCTCACTGGAAAGAAAACATTTTCTCAACTACCTACTCCAAAGAGTTTCTTGTGTCGTCTGAAAATTAGAGATGATGGCGAAAGCAAAAAGCGCTGGGCTAAGTTAAAGAACCACGCACTTGTGTTATGCAAACGGGAGGAACGTCAAAATGTCTGAATCTTGGATATGATACATAACTTGATGTCCCCATCAAAAGTATCCATGGGCCCAATCCTATGGATAGATTTTGTGATACAGGGTGTTGAAGTTAGAAATCCCTAATTCTTAAATACTATAATCAAAATATTGTCACTTCATGATTCCGCAGATTATTTTCGGTCAAAGTACACGAAAAAAAAATTCACTAACCGTTAGCGTACTTTTACTTACCGCAAATAAAAAGTTTTATACTATATGAGACAGGTAAAATGTTTAATTATAGTAAGTAAAACAAGATTTCTGAAATTAGTCACCTGTGGTTAGTAAACAGTTCAATTAGTTTTCAGACGACCTACAGTTAGTGAACTATTTACTTGTGGTTAGTTTCTTACTATAGGTACACTTTATGATACTAATTGGTTTTGGTTTATTTGCCGCTAGTTAACTGTTTTCTTGTGATAAGTGATTTTTGTTTTAGTTGTTGGTATATATGTATTTATGATCTTGCATTATTTATAGGCTTTAAAACATTATTTATCATTAATATTATTATGTAGATTTTATAAACCTTCCTATAGGTACGAATGACATTTATAAAAATTAGGGTACTCAGGTGTTTTAAAATAATATCAAATTTTACATAAATATGAATAGAAATTCCGAAAATATTTTGACACACTGCGTTAAATTAGTAATATTCCTTCTGAACTATTTGGAGGCAGACAAAAAATTTCGTACTTACAGGGTGATCGCAGTTGAACCGGTAAGATGAAAAAATCAACCACAAATAGTAAAATCGTTGCCAAAGAATAAAAAATAATTGTCTTGTAAGTTGCAACTTGTTCATTAAAAATATCTAAGTCCAAATACAGAGTCATACATTATGCCATTACAAAAAAATTCATTTTACGGTAAGTCTAGAGATATTAATCGTGATTGGAATACATGTTTATTTGGCTTGAAGATTGCCATAAGTGCCTCTTTATATTGTATATTTAAATCAGATTGGGAGCTCCTTTCAGTGCCACCTATGAGGTAAAGCTTTAATACATTTTATTTTAAGTGGTATGCCCTGTAAGCCTATTCCACTGATTTTATAATAGGGTAGGTCAAAAATTATCGAAAAATATAAATTCTGGCTTGTTCAGAAAAATTGTGTCTTAGGTGTTTAAATCCTATATAAATTAGTAAAAAATTCAAAAAATTATTTTTTAAAAAGTTTACTTTGTGCAGCTCTCCGCTTGATTCAAAATTAAAAGGGTCTATTTCAGCTACAAGTTAATACGACCTGTTGAATGTTAAATCAACACAGAACTCACCACGGGGAGGTGGCCGCACCTCGAGTTCCACCTAACCAACCGGCCATCCACTTACTCTTTCAACCACCCATCCATCCAACCACCCATACAATTACCCATTCATCTAATTGTATCTTACTGATTTATGTCAAGTGATTATTACATTTTTGGTAAAAAGTTTTATTAGTTAGATTATTAATAAACAATACACATTGTGACAATAAATTGGGCTAACTGATTTCTTGTCAAAATATAATTAATATAATATGTAAATATGAAACAACATTCAGGCTGCTTTACTAAAAAATTGACTAGAATGACACAGTACCATAATTTTCAAAACTTTGACTTTATCATTTTTTAGCCTATTATATTATTGTTTTAGCCTAGACTATCTCCCTAGACCAAATATCAACGATTATTTCTCGATATTTGGTCTAGTAAAAATAGTCGTCCCAAATATAACACGATCTTAATTAATATTCCGCTCTTTTTGTTCTTGCTAAATTTCTCGAATATTTTACAATTTGATTCTACATAATTTTGGCATTAATAATCAATTGATTAAAGCCCTCGAGCTAAAGCTCTCGGTCTCTAATCAGATTATTAATGTCAAAAATTATGTCTCATCAAATTGATATTAAAATATTCTCGAGATTTAGATTCAACAAAAATAGCCGACTATTATCAAGGTCTTGGTATATTACCCTTGATTATATTATTATTACCTATACTCTTCACACAGTAGTCTGTAAAGAGTGTTGTAAGTTTACTTTATCCGTCTGTATATTGAATGTCAGTATAATATTGAATTTATTTCTAAAGGTCATGAAGTTGTTATAATTCCTTGGATTAAATAAAATATATTTTGATCTGGAAGATCAGAACCTGTACAAA